CCGGGACCTGCTCCAGGGGATCCCACAGTACGACAATGCTGAACGACTTCTCGCAGCTGGAGAAAACTTCGGGTGCTGGCACGGGAACACCGGCGACTCTCCCGGGCCGGCATACGCATCGAATAACGTCATTCAGAAGAGCTGCCGAGATGGCATCCAGCACTCCAGCAAACTCTTAGGGTGGACCCCAGACACATCAACATTCGGCGTTTGTATAAGGGGTATCACCTGTGGTAAGTACGGCATAACTGATGCTTAACGGACGTGCGCATGCATCTATCGAAAGGCCCTTATATTATTTGAAGATGGTTGGTAGTAAAAGCATATATGATGTGATGATAGTATTGGATCATGCTGGGCTTTCATATTTGTGTTCTTGTTTCACACAGATCCACAGCCTTCAGACAGGATATCGGGTATGACGTGCATTCTTTGTTTTAAAAATAAACTTAAGAAAGAGAATAAACTCTCATGAAGCAAAAAGTATTTCTAGTGTTGAAATGTTTTACAGTTAGTGAAACCCAAAAGTATTTGCCATTCTAAATTGAGCTACTGTGAGAAGATATCATAAGCTGTCATGTCTTAGTAAATTAGGGTCTTAAAATTTCATATCGCCTGTACATCTTAATTTCCCATTGTAGTCTCTATCACATGTACCAATGACTATATGGAGCTGGCGATTTCTAAAGAGAAACTGACGGGCATCGACCAAAACAACCTCCACTGGGAGCCTGACCAGAACTGTGGCGCCACAACTAACGGTACTCACTACCTGTTCCGTACTGATCTGTACGGCTGTGGCACCAAGGTTTGTCTAGCTAGGTAATTTCCAAGTAGATTTGTAGCTGTGGCACCAAGGTTTGTCTAGCTAGGTAATTTCCAAGTAGATTTGCCATTTGGCTCCTTTTGCATGTCTTTCAGAAAGTGATGTTTTTCTCACCGGTCACATCACCACTCATCATAAGAATTTTATCGTAAGCAGCCTACAAAATATGAGTAATTGTTGGTTCTCTCTGGGCTCTCATGGTCAGTGACTACGTTACTCCCTTCTCCTCTTCCAAACAGTTATGCAATGTCTAAACTTTCGTTTTTCATTTTGGTTTTGTAAACTGCCCTTCAGGCGACTTTCGACCCCAAGTATGTCATTTTCAAGAACACCATCAACATCGGGAGCGCTCATGAGGCAAACAGTGTCATCTCCCGGGAAGGAGACATCAGGATTACGTCAAAGTATGAAAAAACATTAAAATGTACAGAGCTAAATATGTAGCTTTGGTGATGTCTTTTCTTTACGTTTGCTTTCGCATATCAATTCCTTTTTTCTCCATACGTTCATAGTCGAGTCTTTACTTGATTTCGCGACAGTGCCATGGTGCTTCAGATTGATTGTTTGAATGTGATTAGTCATAAAACTGTTTGATAAAATGTTAATTCGTCCTGCCTATTTTTACACATAGTATACATTTGAACTGCTCAGTGGCTACGTGTGTGTGGAATGAAAGATGATAAAAAGAAGAAATAATTTTCTCCATTAACAGATGCAAGTACGAGCGTCAGCAATGGGTGGACTCCACCTTCCAGCCCATCCCGGGTCTCCACGGGCTGAACATTACCGAGGAGGGGTTCGGGCAGCTGGAGGTCCGGCTCTCCATGTTCCCCACCCGGCAGTACCAGACTCCGTACTTCGCTGACCAGTACCCCATCCACCTCAGACCGCGTCAGCGCACGTATCTGCAGCTAGAGGCGAAGGGTCATGGCAAGAAACTGTCGGTACTGGCGCTAAACTGCAAGGCCACCATGTCACCCAAACCCAACGACCCCATACAGTACCAACTCATCACGGAAGGGTAGGCAAAAATTACATATCGCCGTTCGCTAATCTCCAATCAGATTCCTTCGTAGGTAAAGCACTATCAAAGCTACTATACGGGGGCCAATTGGTAACCTTGAGAATCTACTTACCGTTTGTGACATACAACAGAGCAATCGTCAATGACTTGTTATTTCTTCCAGGACGGAAATATTGTTTTGGGTGGCGTTAATTTATGCTAGGTTTGTATGTTTGTATTCCGACGTGAGTGGTATCGTTAAATTGATATTGTTTTCAACCGATATGCTCTGTGTTCAAGCAAGGATGTGGTTGCCTGGAATGTACATGTATGAAACATGAAGCATGGTATAATATTTGGGTTGGTTCGATCATACAATCGTATTTCCGGAAGTTCGAAATCTCTGATTTCTTGTTTCAACTGTATGAGCAATCTGAGAAACATCTAACACTACTAATAACCTGTTTTTTCCAGTTGTGCTTCAGACCCTACCCTGGATATCTATAGTGAAGACTTAGAGGACCCCACCAAGGAGCGGTTCGGTTTTGAGGCGTTCCGGTTCATCCAGGAGGTGAAGATGGTGTACGTGCACTGTGAGGTGATGGTCTGTGACGCAACCGATCCTGGCTCCCGGTGTGCTCAGGTTTGTACCTTTTCTGTGATCACCAAGGAGATCGTTTGGTGGCTTCAAGACAGTACCATTGGCAGGGTAGTACATATATCCAACACGCCACCGAAAACTGGCTAAAACAAAGATACTAATACAAAAAAGAAAACCCGATAAATATGCCTATAAACTCGCCAAAAGATAGTCGAGGCCCAAAGTTCTGTTTCAAAAGCACTTTTCTACAATCACCAGAGCAGTATTCTATTCTATTCTATTCTATTCTATTCTATTCTATTCTATTCTATTCTATTCTATTCTATTCTATTCTATTCTATTCTATTCTATTCTATTCTATTCTACTCTATTCTATTCTATATTATTATTCTATTCTATTCTATTCTATTCTATTCTATTCTATTCTCTACTACACTACATTACACTAATACTGTTCTATGCAACAAAAACAATGCATAAATGGTTGTCTCTGGTTGTTTCTGAATCAAGCAATAAGCATACCAAGCTGCATTTTTCAGGGTTGTGTTGCTGCAAGACGCAAAAGGACTATTGCCGACAAAGTCGACATGGTTGGACGTCACATGATCCACTTGGGGCCAATCATTTTAGATGATGACGAAGCAGGTACATGTTTTATTGAATACCATAAAGTTGTATGATGTTCTTATCCTTAAGAATATAAACAGGTTGCAGGTGGCGTTTTCCCTATAAGTATCCTAGGTTGGGTGTAGGAGGTCGTTTGGTGCAATATAACCAGCTGCCATCTATACAGATAACAGTTACGTTAACAAAAGGCAACCTAAAGGCTGTTGTATTTTTCTCTAGCTTCAAGCAGCCTGCGCAGTCGCCGCGGTGCACCCTGGGCCCTGCTGGCTGCCGGAGGGGGTCTGATGGCGCTCGCCCTTGTCGTGCTGGGCGCGGCCGTCGTGCGGAAGTACTCCCGCCGGGAGGAGTGGGCCTACCAGGGGCTGGCTAACTTGGAAGGGGAGGAGTAGGGGGAGGGAGTCGACAGGATAGCACAGCTATGACGTCATGTATAACACAGTAACGTTTAGTTGAAGCATGGAGGTATATAAAAAATGGTTGAAGTGTTACCCAAGTTGTTACTGGTGAACAGTGGACAAATGGCACACATACATTGTACTAAGTACTTATCAAGAGATGAGCCTGCGAAGCTGGTGTGTTATCTGTTATGCCAAATGTCAGTTATACCGGCTATACAAATACAATAATGTTACTACCCAAGCCACAGTTTCAGTTATAGGCGGTATGCCTTTTTCCCGGAGCATGTACAAAAGAAATGTCATCTGAACAAAGAGGGTGAATAAATCACCCAACAATTACGTGTAGCTGTTCATCGTTTGAGTTAATTGGTGATGACAGGCTTTGCTCAGTTGCTAACCATATGTCATAACAGTGTGCTTTTCATTTTTATATCATACCCGGGCCGCGATAACGTTCGATAACGGGTTCCGGACCGGGCCGTACTTTACGTCGGGCGATCCGACCCGTGGTCGGGCCGATACCTCGGGCGATACGGAATACCCCGTGTTGTATTCTATATGTACACAAAGGTGAGACCAAGGACGCACAGAACGTCCTTGGTGAGACAAAGGACATTGTACATTACTCTGTATAATGCCCTTGGTGAGACAAGGGAGGTTGAGTAGAATCTCGATAGTATCAAGGAAGCTTCTTGATAGTATCTGTACAGGTACTTTATAATTACGGAGATGAATTGTCCTAGCCTGAGTGTCAGCCTTGTTAGCTTTCGTCCGCTACCCAAGGTCCGCTCCCCGCCAACAGGAGCGGACCTTGGGTAGCGGACGAAAGCTAACAAGGCTGACACTCAGGCTAGAATTGTCCCAGTTGGAACAAATATTAATAAATGTCACACGAACATATCATGCCATACCATACTGTTTGTGTGAAATTTCACGAGCATGTCTCGCATCCAATTCGATAAATGTATGTGTGTAAGCACAGTTCTGCCTATTCAATGTTTTCATACAATGTGTATCTTATGCGCCATTGTCACTACGTACGGCCTTAATCATGCCACGGTTTACGACGCAGTGACGCAAGTGAGCTGTCTAGAGCCACAATGTGCATTGAATGGTTGAGTTGATTGATGATGAAGTGGGGACTGGAGCATGAGATGACCCCACCCTGTCTGCTGCCACACTGCTTAATTACACACAGAATGACATGGTCTAATACAGCAGTGCGTAGTCGTGTAACTGGACGTCTATCGTCTAGAAAACACCAGCAAAAGGGAAAACATACAAGCCTCTGTGAATTATGCTCATAACCGTATCGAGAATTGCGAAAATGCTGCTCGTCGAATCAACTTCATTCGGGACAGTGCTCGTATTTCTGCTGACACTGGCAGGCCAAGTGTTGCTGATACTAGGACAAGGTGGGTTGTTTACCATTTCTATGTGGATAGCCTAATTATTCTATATAGGTACGGTTCTGCTTATATGAATGGCCAATGCAATTGGCACACAGAGTTCATTACGTCTGAAATTTTTATTCCAGGGTGTCCCATGGCAGACTACGTTAGTTTTGACGGAGTTTGCTATAAGGACTTCGTTTCGTTGAGGACCTACGACGAGGCTAGACAGAGGTGTGCTGTAGACGGCGGACTACTAGCCATGCCGACAGACGATGCGACCAACACTTTCATCGCAGGTCTCAGGGACGGACTGCGCTGGTTTGGACTGACTGATGAAGTCACCGAAGGCGTCTGGGTGTTTGAGGACGGGCGGCCACTGACGTCAACAGGCTACTCAAGCTGGGCACAGGGGGAACCGAATGATCATCTTGTATCTCATCAAACGGAAGACTGTGCTGTCTACTCGGTGACTGAAGACGGATCCGTGTGGTTTGATATACCATGCAGCCGCGATTATGGATTCATCTGTCAAGGTAATCTGGTTTTAATGCAAAGTAATGCACCCAAGTTGACTTGTTATGGTTTCGCCAACCGACCTTACACATGTACGTTGGCGTGTTGGAGACTGCCTTGCCAACTTGATAGTGTTTTATGTCATACCTGGGCCGCGATTGCGTTCGATACGGGTGTTCCGGTTCTGGATAGTCCCCGCTTACCCAATAGTGAACATGGTTATGGATAACGCACGGTTGTGCTAGATCATGCATACAACAATTTAGACCCATTGTCAGATGTCATGTACAGCATGTGCTCTGCAACGTTTTCGTTTGCAGTATTGATCATTGCATATTGTACCAATACTGATGACACGTCCTGTATGGGTGTATTTTGCATCTTAGTAGAAATTACGTAGAAGTATGATGGTGATTTTCTAGATGGTAAAAATGAATTGAATATCGAACATACTCCTGATGATTTTTTTTTTCAAGTGAACGCAATGTGGACCTCGTGGGGAGGTTGGAGCACATGCGACTCAAAGTGCGGATTTGGGACAAAGACACGGACTCGTGTGTGTAGCCAGTCTGTGCCCGAGTCGTATGGGATCTGCCCTGGGCTACCAGAGGACTCGCTGCTTTGCTACGACACGAGTCTTTGTCATGGTAAGATCTACCTTGATAAGATGTAACAAAACACATAATGTATACAATTAACCATAAAATACATTCGATTTCAACACAGTAAATAGGACACACGAAATGTTCCTGTTTTTTTTTCGGGATGACCAAGGACCCGATTACGTCACTTTTGGAAGGGTTAAAGGTGAATGGAAGTCGGTATAGACCCCCGTTTCTGTTCAACGAAAGGTCCCTAATGTTTTTAAAGTTGGGATCATTAAATCACGAGTTAACTATTTGCTCCTCCAGGCTGAATAATGTATACATTAATAGTAATTAGGCTAGAAAGTATATTGACGTGCAACAGCAATCTTGCTGAGATCAGAACCAATTGCAATTGAAAGTGGAATTATTCAAAATGGAATAAAACATTGTAAAGTTGCAATCTAACTAAGAAAAGTTTCTTGTTCATTCTTTGAAACAGAGGACGTTGCAGTTGGAGGAAAGGTAATTCCATTGCAAATGTATCTTTTCCTAGAAATAAAGAATATGATGACAGTAACGTTTTTCATTTGGTTTATAGTTGCGATTTAAACCGTGGATTATAGTGTAGTTATTAGACTTACGATTTATAATTACTAGTAAATGGTATGTGCACACATCACAACTTACATACTTTCTCTTCAAATTCCTTTTATCCAGGATTTGTTTTTACTCAACGAGGGCAATGTGAGCTGGGCAGACTACCAGACGTTTAAAACCGGAGACTTTCTACCCGCTGAGTATGACGCCTCTCAAGGACCAAACAGCGAAGGTTTGTACATGGAAATGACTTTGACCCCCCCCCCAGCAGATCTAACTGTTTCTTGTGTTTAATGTTGTTGGTGTTAAACTTTCAGTGTGCAGAATTTTTATTTATCACTCTGTATTAAAAATGTTTGTATTTCCCAATTTCAGAAGAACTTTACGTTGCTTCATCAATATACATCACAGGTGTGGGATTTCTTTCAGAGAAACATGGGGTAAGGGCTGTTTGTACTATATGTACTAAACTGTTTGACTGTAAGTTGTGAGTACTTTTTGTCTTTAAAGTTATTACCTCAGATTTGCCGTCAGTGCTAGGTCTAGAAAACAAGTGATAGCAAACTTAACTTTGGGTGATGTACCGTAAAATTGATTAGAATCAGCCACATGCCATCATACACTAGCCCCTTAACGGAAGTGACGTAAGAGTTCAATGTAGACCGGCGGAACAAGCATGGCGCCTGCATGACGTCAATTTCATCGCAGCGCCCTGTGGATGCCTGCTAACACAACAAAGGCTTCATATTACGCCAAACATTTAATTTTCTCTAACTATTATTGCGTATTGAGTAAAGTGACTCTTTTTTCACAACCAAGTGTTTTATTCACAGCCGACGTTTCGATGACTGTCTGTCACCTTCCTCAGGGCAATTCTGACTGGTTCACATTGGTTGTGAAAAAAGAGAGTCTCTTTACTCAGCGACATACCAACCTGATGAAACTATTCACGGATGTTATTGTTTATCTTTAGAACATATCTATCAGCTTAGAGTACTCTCTGTCCTGGGTGGATGGACGCCTGGCGGGCCTGACAGAATCGTGGGTTCCTGTTCCCTCCAACTCCATCTGGTCTCCGCCGGTTGCGTTCGGACGTTCGGTTCGCCGGGCCATCGCTACCAGCGAGGGGGAGAACTGGATGTGGTTCGACCCACGCGGACTGGTTGTCCTGAAGATAAGGTGAGTGATGGTTGATTCAAATTCATTGAATTAGCCTTTTTACCAGGCTTCGGGAGGCGGCAAACTGTACTCTCTAGCTGACCAACTCCCCTGGAATGTTACCTCTCTATTTGGCCAGTTTGTACTCTTTCCAGTCGACTCCCGAAGCCTGGTAGAGGCTATAAAAGAATGACCATAAAGTTGACTTTAAAAATCCAGCTTTGCCACTATGATTGGACGCCTTTTAAATGGAGCCATTTACATCAAGCCGTACCAACTTTTCTCTGTCGTGAGAGGGGGAGGGGGGCAATGTCGAGTTCCGACGAACTTTCAACCATTCCTAACGTTACTCATGAACAAAACCATAACCAAGATCATAGCAATAGCTAGAAAGCTGAGAAGAAGGAGTGGTTTGGTCAAAAGGTTTAGGTAATAGAGATGATGAAATCTTTGAGTTGTAGAATAGTTCAACGTTCCTCATAACAGGCGTTTTTACTTTAATATCTTCCCAGCCGCCAGCTCTCAGTGAACTGTGTAACACACCTGGCAATGTACCCACTCGACACACAAGTGTGCACTGTGGCTTTGCACGGATGTAAGTTTCAGTTTGCTGAAGTGTAAAATTCTTCAATACAAAATACCAAAAAATTAACACATACTTCCTCATCACGTTCACAAAATCATGGGATGTTTGTGTGACTAGTATATGTGATATGCATGATTTCATTGAGAGAATGTCCATATTATCATGTAAAACATAGAAAATGGGCACTTTGCTTGCCTTTAAGCTTCATATTCATGATATTGCTTTATTGGAAAACTCAATAAAATATGCACAAAATCTTCTCACAAAAGTTGAAACTTCATGTCAAAAAATAGGTTTATACTTGAATGCTTCCAAGACAAAGTTCATGCATCTAAACCCTACTACTGACAGTTTACTTTTTGCCACTGATGGCACTGAAATCGAATGTGTTGCGGATTTCAAATACTTAGGGGGGTACTCTGATAGTGTTCATGACATGGATGTGCGGATCGCACAGGCATGGAGTGCTCTTCACTCATTACATAAGATTTGGAAAGCGCCCATTAGAAAACAAACTAAGATCAAAGTGTTTAAGGCATGTATTGAAACAATTCTTTTGTATAGGTCAGAATCATGGGTCATGAATATGTCACATTCTAGAAAACTAAACGGAACATACACGAAGATGTTGCGAGTGGTTTTCAATATACCATGGTGGAAACATACTACTAATGAACAGTTATACGGTTCGCTACCAAATGTAACTTCAGTAGTCAAATGTCGACGACTAAGCTTGGCCGGTCATGTAATACGTAGTGAAGAACCAGCCAGTAGGCTTCTACTCTGGAACCCTGATACCTGTAAGAGAAGAGTTGGACGCCCAAACATAACAGTTAAGAAACTTATTGAAACTGAAACTGGCTTGGAGGGACATGAACTTTTCTCAGTGATGTATGACAGACAGTTGTGGCGAACTAACTTTGTATGCTCCACCTCTACGGAGGATGAATGATGATGATGATGATGATTCATGATATGAAGAAACGTGAAATAATGCATCCCTTACCAATACCAGACAATGGAGTGAAGCTACGCCTTCAACCATCTGCAAACATCAACGCTGCACCCGTGAAGAGTGACGCTACAGGAGTGGTGTCACAGTTCACTCTCGTAGGAGTGGAGGCGCGTACCATGGTCCAGTCCTTCGTCAACACAGGTGTGTATTGTCGAAACATCAATGGACAAATTTTAGTGCGTTGTGCAGCTAAATCGATGAATTTCAGTGCTTGCAAAGAGGAGACGTGCCCCATGTAACCCCGAATGGAACACGTGTTCGGTTCGAATTACGTCAGGTCGAACCTGATCGAACGGAGTTCGGCTTCTAATAATGTCGGGGGCTTTGGCGCATGGCAAGTTTGACCATCGTGCCAAGAAATGTGGTGGTTTTTTTTTTGCTTGTGTGAGTGTCTGTGTGCTTGTTTGTGTCTATGCACTATTTAGCTCTACCCTTCGTGTTGGAATTCTTGTCTGTGGTTCTGGGAGGGTCACAAAGCGGTGTGATTTGTGGGATGAAGTCTACCATCCCTGATATTGTGCATTGTTTTCAGTTAACGTTAACTCTCTGAATCGTACCGGTACCCCTTGCAGGCTGCATTTCCTTCGAGCAGATGTGTGACTATCATTCTGAGCCATGCATGACGTCACTTCCGGACTGTACCAAAGAGACGTGTGGGGACTGTAGCACCATTGTTGGAAAATGTTCTCATAAACTTCACTTTTGTGACGATAATTTCAACGGTAAGATGTTTGGAGTATACTTACCTCCATGGAAAATGGAGGTACTGTTTTGGTATCTCTCTCTCTCTGTGTATCCGTGTTACCGCATGGCAGTCACTGTTTTCAAAGGTGTTTTTCGTCCGATGACCTCATTGACAGCTGGTGCTAATACTCTTGCACAATAAAGACAATAGAAAAGGAATCAGTCACCATCACACAAGACCTAAATATTTCATGGATGTCTAAGGTCTCCGAATTCTTGTTGACATAGCAAGTCGAAGACTACAACAGGTCGCTTGTTGGAAAAAAATAATCTTTTGCTGTTTCGCTGTACTGTTTTCCCCAGATACGGATTCCTTCAACGTGTTGGAAGTTCACATCCACATGCGAAGGATACTCTGGCGGTACGTTTTGAATGCTTACTTTCCGTCCGTCGTCATCGTCGCGTCATCCTATCTTCAAACATGGCTGCCGGTGACGCAGTGTGACGTCACAGCCCGGGTCACCCTGGGAGCTATGGCCATCCTTTCTTTGATCAAGCAATGGGAAGAAACTGAACGAATGCCTTGGGTAGGTTTTTCTATAACTTGTTTACATATATTTGTGTTGTAACAGTGTATACTATAGTACAAGACAATACTATGTCTCGTTTTATGCGAAGAGAAACGGAATACATGTGCAAAAAGAATCTTTCGCAATCATTTTTAGTGTACAAAGTATGATTTGTGAACCATGTTTTGTAGGTGGAAGAACCGAGGGCAATCGACGTTTGGATGTTGGGATGTCTGGCGTTTGTGATCGCCTTTCTTCTGGAGACCAGTGTGATGCACTTCGTCTCTTCATACATTCAGGAGAAGGTAAGGAGTGAGAATGGAGTAAAAAGCACACTGAAGAACTTTGAAAGTTCATTAACAAAAGTTGACGATATTGCCATAGACGTTTTAATGCCGTGGGGGCAGTGGGTTGATAACCCACTGTGTCTATGGCACTTTATTCCCCACTCCTTTCAACGCCGTTTACCTCCCCAACCAAGTAACGTACCCATTTTAGATCTGGGTTGAGTGAGGAAAGTCGTGTTTTAAAAGTGCCTCTTTCAAGGACACATCTAGCCGGGAATAGAACCCATGACCTCTCGGTTTCATGCCCGCTAGCTTAACCACCAGACACAGAATTACATCAACAAACATGTTAGGGGGCAATAAGGCCTTTTAGTCGTCGTAATCCGTAGGCAGCCTCCAGAAAAATCAACGTAATCCGTAATAGTACATTAGCCACAAAGCGTATAGTCGTAATCAGCTGTGAGAATTTAACGTAATTCGTAATCGGCGGCGCACATTTTGCGTAATTTGTAAGCACTACCCCCATGTAGGCCCTCATGTTACAATCGTATATCAAGCTTACCTTTCTGACCTGGTTTATAGGAACAGCAAGCGATCCGATCAGAACAGCGAGCGAGAGAACTCAACCCGCCTCTCCAGATACCGCGGCCAGGGTTGAGGGATCCCACATCAGGTTCCAACACGACCAGACCGCAGCCTCCTAACACTACCAGCACAAGGCCGCAGCCTCGTAACGCTGCAACTGCAGGGGAGCCTGTGTACATTCCTCGGGCACGAATGCACACCCCCGGCTATCTCAGATGGCACCAGGTTAAGGACAAGGAATGGGTCGTCGTCATCAAATCTGAGAAGAATACCCAGAATAATGCCGCCGCCCCTGAGGCGTCGCCAAAAACCAACGGTGATGGTGTAGCAAATAACCACAGTAAAAAGAGTGAAGAGGATGCGGTTGTGTCGTACACACCTGATCCGTTGATGGTGAATTCCGCCTACGATCGCGTTGAGTTCAATGCTCGGGCGTTCGAGCCGAGTGCAAAGGACAGGGCGGACCGTTTGGCAACGAAAATCGACAGTTTCGCCAGAGTTGTTTTCCCACTGGGCTTCGTCATATTCAATGCTGCATATTGGGGTACATACAGACATGGCTCATTTTATGATGATGAGGAGCATTAGGTTTGAAAGCTTTCAATCAAAATATGCTTCTCCTTACAAGTGCCAGTAGTGCCATAAGTTATCATTTTGGGGAACCTTGATGATAGTGTCTTCATGGACTCAAAATGGATGTACAATGTATAATGACATGTACAGTTTTAGCAGAACAAGGTAGGTTGCAGGTATATTTACCTGCTTACGTCACCTAGCGTTCTGTGGCTGGCTAACTCATAAACCCTACATGGGCATTTTGGGTATGCAGCATTCTAAATTTCTGTTTAGCACTCCTCAACCACACATACCAGGCATTTCAATACTGTATTTGTCTAATATCTATTCTTGAGGGCTGCAGCTAGACCTGAGATATAGACGAATGCAAATAAGAGTAAAAAAGAGAACATTTATTGGCAAGAAACCAAAACTGCTTGAACAAACGTATGTTAACATAACCAAAACTGACAAAGTCACTTTCCTCGAGTTGTATACATGTACTTAAAGACTAAATGTTAGGCTATAACAACTTCTATTCCTACAAAATGTATTGAATAAAGAGAATATCAGCAACAACACTAGTTTTCCTCTATACACTTACAACTACATGCACTAAATCTATCACCCATGGTAACCATTATCTAGAAACAAGAGAAAAATAGTATACTTAAGAAACTAGATTCTAAAAATATCTAGATGAACAGAATAAAAATAACATGCTAAAATTGGATAGTATTCCATCTATAAAAACAAAACTCCTATACTCTATAACAAGAGAACTTTTACACATGCAAACCTAGGTTAGTCACAGCTCAATGTAATATATACTAGTAACACCCTTCATCTTCTACATCATTTAACTTGTTAATGCTACAAACTAGATGTACTGGGTGCAATCTAAAGAACAACAACAAAAAAATCCATGGAACATAAACATTCTAACTAAAGCAAACTTTAAAAAGCCACTGTTTGTAGTGCATCATGAATTAAGAGCTTGGAAGTTCTCAATCCAAGTACTGTATTTCTTTAATGGCTTCACGAAGATGGACCTTGTGAACCATACAGGAAAAAATACTGTCTTCAGACTCTTCTCACAACTTGAGGTATGATAAAATTTCCCACTTCAACGTTTGCATGTGTCTCTTCCAGTCCCCATGCTGCTTGAGTGTTTCCCTGCCTGACTTTGCAAGCTGGGTTTCTGATATGACCAAGCCTACACCTCAATCCTCAAAACTTTGAGTTTTTTTTTACTCCTTAGACTAAGTTAGAGTCCTTAAACATGCCTTTCTTGCAAGTGGGTCTGCATGTGAGACTTCAGACTTTTCAGCCTACTGAACTGCCTGCCGCACTCCTCACACCTGTAGGGTTTCTCCCCTGTGTGAGTCCGCATGTGTTTCTTCAAGTCACCCTGCTGGGTAAACTGCCTGCTGCACTCCTCACACTTGTAGGGTTTCTCCCCTGTGTGGGTCCGCATGTGAGTCTTTAGGTTAAACAGATTACTGAACTGCCTGCTGCACTCCTCACACCTGTAGGGTTTCTCCCCTGTGTGAGTCCGCATGTGTCTCTTCAAGTCATTCTGATGACTGAACTGCTTACTGCACTCCGCACACTTGTAGGGTTTCTCCCCGGTGTGGGTCCGCATGTGAGAGTTTAGATTACTCCATTGACTGAACTGCTTGCTGCACTCCTCACACCTGTAGGGTTTCTCCCCTGTGTGAGTCCGCATGTGAGACTTCAGACAATTCATCCTACTAAACTGCCTGCTGCAGTCCTCACATCTGTAGGGTTTCTCCCCTGTGTGGGTCCGCATGTGTGGCTTTAGTTCATGCAGATGACTGAACTGCTTGCTGCACTCCTCACATCTGTAGGGCTTCTCCCCTGTGTGAGTCCGCATGTGAGACTTAAGACAATCCAGCCTACTAAACTGCTTGCTGCACTCTTCACACCTGTAGCGTTTCTCACCTGTGTGAGTCCGCATGTGTTTCTTCAAATCACCTTGCTGACTGAACTGCTTGCTGCACTCCTCACACCTGTAGGGTTTCTCCCCTGTGTGAGTCCGCATGTGAGAATTTAGGTTACCCAGATGACTGAACTGCTTACTGCACTCCTCACACCTATAGGGTTTCTCCCCCGTGTGAGTCCGCATGTGTGATTTTAAGTGAGTCAGCTGAATGAACTGCTTGCTACACTCCTCACACCTGTAGGGTTTCTCACCTGTGTGAGTTTTCATGTGACACTTCAGAGTTTTCAGGCTGCTAAACTGCTTGCTGCACTCCTCACACCTGTATGGTTTCTCCCCTGTGTGAGTGCGCATGTGAGACTTCAGACTACCCAGCTGACTGAACTGCTTACTGCACTCCGCACACTGGTAGGGTTTCTCACCTGTGTGAGTCCGCATGTGAATCTTCAGATCACCTTGCTGACTGAACTGTCTGTCGCACTCCTCACACTTGTAGGGTTTCTCCCCTGTGTGAGTTCGTGCCATGTGACTGTTCAAATTAGCCAGCTGACTGAACTGCTTGCTGCACTCCTCACACCTGTAGGGTTTCTCCCCTGTGTGAGTCCGCATGTGTGTCTTCAAATCACCCAGCCGACTGAACTGCTTACTACACTCCTCACACCTGTAGGGTTTCTCCCCAGTGTGAGTCCGCATGTGTGACTTTAAGTGACCCAGCTCTCTGAACTGCTTCCCACACTCCTCACATTTGTAAGGTTTCTCCCCTGTGTGAACCCGGATATGAGTCTTAAGTTTATCCAACTTACTGAACTGCCTGCCGCACTCCTCACACTTGTAGGATTTAGTGGAAGCTACTCCGTTGGCAAATGCCCCTTCCGATCCTCTCGTGATGCCATCAGAGCCACTGCTATTTGTTGCCATGGTAACAAAAGCGGTGTAGTCCTGGAGTATAAAGAGATGACATTTAATTTCAACTGTTTCTGTCTGCACAAGACATATATAATATTGGTCATACAAACACTAAACACAAAGAAAATATGATTGAAGCGGCCCCAAATATGCATTGAGAAAAGGCTTCTAAGTACTTGACACTTCCGATACTGTTTCAGTTGGTCAGACTTTTAACTATTTGTGAAATACTCAAATTGGAATGCTGGGCACTTTTCATGGAGGTCATCAATTCATGAGGGAAGGGGAAGGGGTAAGGGTCAGATTGTATCAAAAGAGATAGAATACAACAATGATATTGATAAATTTCTAATCTCAGCAAAGATAACTAGTACTCATTAGCTTGTAATAAGTATGGTAGTATGCAAGTTTTGCTATTACCTGCAAGATAACTCTTCAACTGCTTCACCAGGGTACTGATGTCTGGAAGGCGAAGCTTCACTGTTCTCCCTTTCAGCAGGATACTTAGAGCCCTGATGCTGGACTATGGAATCCTGTGAAAAAGGAACAAGAAATGTTTGAAATCATTCAGCTACTAGTATTATGATTTATGGCAAAAAACAGATATTTGAGATTGGGGTAAAATATTGTCAATGTCAGGTGAAATCGCATACTGACTCATTATGTTTACCAAAGGAAAACATTGTTTTTGCTACATTTCTTCTTCTCCTAACAGTGACCTCAGGCTCTGACCTGACTGAACTAGTCTCTCACCATGGTAACTGGTGTAGAGTTACATAATGTTGCAATTTCATAGTGGGAGGGACTCCTGTCACCATATATTATATGTGAATGTGTTTGAGTAAGAATTAACAGAGCAGACCATATGCGAAGGTAAACATAATGCATTTGCTTTTCAAATGTTACTTTTGTAGTTTATTGTAAGTTTGGTTAGCTGAGTTACTGTTCAATTTCCGTGTTGTCAAATCTGCATAGAGCTCTATTGTTATTCATTCATTATCACCCCTGCATCTACCATTATCTCTGTTCTACCTTTCCCTCTTGGTCAGGTGAGAAATGATTGTGTGAAAAGTCCTTTTATTCCTTTTTGGCACCCTTGATTGGCAGCTTTTGTTGTTTTAATAAAGCAGATCTCTCGGCGGCGACAAGACAGTATCAAACTGGCCAGGCAGTATCCATTTGCCAATTTGATACTGTCTTGCGGCTACCCAAATATCTGCTTGGAGATCACTTGTTCAAGCCTTTCCTTGACTTTGGCAAGTTTTGCCCCAAAGTAGCTTGTAAGTTTGTGACATAATGTCTCATGTCACAACTTGTCACTGGTGGCATACGGAGGGTGTGTGAGAGAGAGTTCAACCTGGGAGGTTCAATCAAAGTAAAACAGTACGTGATATTCTTCTGTCGCATCGATAACTGTAGACTTGATAAGCTCCTTGTACGTACCTGAGTCGTATGCAGAATGCAATCCCGATGAGCTAAGCCGAAATAGCCTCTTTATACTCTTAGAAAGATGACGAGAAACTCCCGATACGTCCTACCACGCCGCATCTGCTGCAGGGCAAAGGTCAACCTTACGCGCAAGCGCAAAGGCACCATGTTCCTCATTCCCATGATGCATTGCCGCTGGGGGTAAAAATTCCCAGTATGCATAGCGCTAGCGGAACTTTCGGCTTGCTTTAATGACACCGACCGCTAGGTGTCGCTTTCGACCATTACTCCGTGAGGTCTGTGACTGCTGACAACTGCTGAGTCCTGAGTCTAATGCCCACACACAGGCGTCATATTTCTCTGACAGGACGGTTGTCACCTAAGTGTGCTGCGGTAACCTGCACGTGCGCTGTGCTTTTTCACACCTATGTGTACCAGCTAGGAGGAAATATGGAGAATATTTACGTGGGCTTCTTTTGTAAGGTGTTCCTGTGTCTCTGCGTGTTTGCGCTTACAGGTAAGAATCGCCGTTACTTTTCTTGGCTCCGTGGACTTCGTAACGTCCCGGAATAACTGAGTATGTTCTTTGAGAAGGTTTTGTTCGACGCAAAGTTGTAGCTTGTTTTGCATTGATTCACCAGGAAGTGTGTGCAACTTGTAATTCATGCTGACATACATATGGTTTGTACATTTGTGGCAGGGTACACAATCGACTGCAATGGGCGACAACCACCATAACAAAATAAAATGTGTGCAAAATTGCTTAACATCTAGTACTAGTCTGTCATCGACTGTTCATAGCTTGACCTGTTGTTCATTGTGTTTGTAATAACACTACATCTGTAGTCTTTCATGACTACAGGCGGGGTCTCCAAAAGTACTTGTCAAATTTGCAATTTTTTAGCTCAAAGATAGAACATCCATCATTTTGACAGAAGAATATGTTCCGCAAACAATAACAGTCACGGGATTTAGTGGTCAGGCACCAAACATGTCACGAGTTGGTGTGGTAGGACATTCTAGCGGGGATTCGTTGCAGGCCAGTTCCCGTTCGTTAGTCCTTCTCGCACGTACGGAACTCCACAGGTAATCCTACAGGTGCTCCACTGTTCTGTGGGGATGAGTGCTGTCATCTTAGAGGATAAGAAGGGAGTTCTTAGATTGCAGAGACCACAACTCTATTTGTTTGCTTCGCATGGCTGGTAAACCTCCCTTAGGCACAATATACCAGATTTGTGCAGTAAAACTACTCTCAAAGCAGAGGTTGATGGTGGAAGATCGTTTGCTTTTCATATATGGTCCGTTTTTTTGTCTTT